GGTAACTTCCCTGGCAGACTTTTAAGCTCGTGAATGTTGCGTGGCTCGTGCATTTTTAGTATCGCGTCAACTTTTGCTTGCTCGATCTCTATCCCACGATGACGAATAATGAACCCAAGAAACTTTCCCGACTTGACACCAAATGCACACTTCAGCGGACTCATCTTAAGTTGATATCTTCTCAGGCGTTCAAAAACCATCCTCAAATCTTCTAGGTGGTCTTCTCGCTTCTTTGATTTTACCACCACATCATCAACATAACACCCGATGTTCTTGTGGAGTATATCGTCAAATATCGTTTGCATTGCCCTTTGATATGTAGCTCCAGCGTTTTTCAAGCCGAATGGCATCACCTTATAGCAGTATATACCCTTTGGAGTGCGAAACGCCGTCAACTCTTTGTCTTTTCACGACATGCGTATTTGATTGTATCCTGACGAACCATCCATAAAAGACAATGCTTCATGTCTTGTCGTAGCATCGATCATGAGTTCAGTTATAGGAAACGGGAAGTCGTCCTTGAGGCACGCCTCGTTAAGATCTCGAAAATCCACGCAAACTCGAATTTGGTCGTTTTTCTTTCTGACAAGAACGATACTCGAGATCCACGTAGAATATTTGACTTCTCGAATGAAACTGACTTCAATGAGTTTATACACTTCAGCTTGAATCAACGGGATCAACTCGGGTCAGAATCTTCGTTGTGTTTGTTTAACAGATCTTGCCCCCTTTCTCACGGACAAGTTATGCACCGCCACCTTTGGGTCTAGTCCAGGCATCTCTTTATACGACCATGCGAATACATCCTTAAACTCACCAAGAAGATCTATGTAGGCCTTCTCTTCATCCACAGTTAACAAGGCGCTGATGTATGTCGGGCGAGGATCATCAGCATCACCCAAGTCGATTTCTCTTAGTTCATCGACTGTGGCCTTAACTCCTTCTACAAGTTCGGGAGGTGCGTGTTCAACATCTTCTTCTTCTATTGGAGTATTCTCGCAGATAGTGATATGGTTCACATGAGCAATATCTTCGCTAGGCTCACTCAGAGTTTTAAAGTCAATACATGCTCTTGCCCGTCCGTTTCTTCTCGTGACAAGTCGTTTCTGCACATTTTCATCAATTCTAGCGATATATCCTTTTCTTGCCAAATAAGCTATCTTTCAGTAAGAGAACTTCCATCATCTCGAGGAGTTGTAAGAGTACCGCAAGTATAGTAAGACGAAGCGACACTTTCTCTATCATCATGTTCATCGTCCTGCACTCTTGTATGAACGATCGTGTGCTAAAAAACTTCCCCACATGATATGATTAAGGTGGTTTGACGTTTCATGCGTGATGGAATTCGACTTCTAAGCTTTGGAGTCGGGCCCGCGCCTCTTTCTTGTCTTAAAGGCTTTGACGGTTTAGATGATCCAAGTCGCTTAAACACAGATTGTTTGCCCCTAAACTTCTGAACTGGACCGAGTCTTTGAACCACCGATACTCTTTTCCCTTTCTTTTCTCCGTCATTGGACGGGAATTCTCCTTCCGAGACATGGTTGGCGTTTTCTCTCTTGATGGTGATTCTAATTGGATTCGGTGCCACATATCCAACACATGCCGATTGTGCTTTTGCTCTTGAGGTATGAGATTTCCCAAAGAGTGACTTTCATTGGGGTTGTATCCTGCTTTGACGAGAAGTTTGTAGGCTTTTAGATCAAAACACTTCGAGTTCTTCAGTCCTTCGCCATGCTCCGTTACCGCTCCTTTGCTTGGACGAACAAACTTTTTCATGGGTAGCTGGGAAATTGGTTTCTCGTGATTTATCTTCGATAGTGGCAGCACTAACTCTTTCGAATAGTTGTGTACCTTTTAAATCTTTGTTTCTTCGCCTTCGGATCCTTTTTGCTGCTTAGACGGGACTTTATTAACCGATTTTGCATCTTTGAAATAGTATTTGGCATCAGCGAAGTGAGTTTCAGCCTCCGTAAAAGGTTTATCATCACCAAGCACGGTCTTCACAACGCCATTTTTGCCATACTTGAAGCATTGATGCCATGTTGACGGAACTACGCCATTCTCATGAAGCCATGGACGACCAAGAAGCATGTTGTAAGAAGTCTTAGCGTCGATAACATGGAACATTGCAGTTGACTCCATATCTTCCATTAGCAACCTCAAGCTTATGATGCCAAGAGCTCTTTGCCCCCCTTGGTTAAAGCCTTGAATCATTAATCGACTATTACCAAGTCCTTCGGTAGTCATTTCTAACTCTTTCAGCGTATGAAGAGACAAAATGTTGACTATTAATCCTCCATCAATCAATATTCGATTATCCTTTTGCTCTTGCACATAGCCGACCACGAACAAGGGTATATTGTGAGGCTTAGAACCAAGCAGCAGATCTTCATCAGTAAAGACCATCATGGTATCACGACAAACATGGTGATCTTCAACCTTAAGCAGATTGTTTTCTTCTAGCGGAGCTTCGTGCTCATTTGTCATGTTACATGTTTCGGTTATATGATTAGTAGTTGCGCTACTTTCTTCCAATGAGATTTTTCCTTGACGTGTTAGGTACATAACCTTGTCCTTGAATACGAAGAAGTCATGAATTGGATGCCCTACAAGACGGTGGTATTTGCAATATTTTGGGTCGTTCACTCTGCCAGCTTCTTGAGGACGCTTCATCTCAGGAAACTCAATGAGTTTTGCTTCGATCAAATCGTCAAATATGCCAGGGACGTCTGAATCAAGGAACGGGTACTGCTTTGCCTGCATTTATTTCAGAGTCAATCTTCTTTGTTCAGTCTCCTTGAGGACATCCTTCTTTTCAACGGCTTTATCAATAGCTTCTCCTTCGAACTTGACAGGCATTGCATTGATCGTCATGGACTCTTTGTTTTGAGATTTCGAGGAGAACTTGCGCCTTTTTCTTGCTCGTATCTATCCTCGGAACTTTGGGGTTCTTGAAACGGTGGCCCATTAGCTCTGCTTGTGCCCATACTTAGTTCCATGTCGTAGGCTGGAGTCGCTAGCTCTTCGAATGTTCTATGTCGAATATCTTGAAGGATATAACGAAGACCCCAACTCATTCCTTGAATGCACATCTCAATGGCAGAAGCCTCAGACAGACGATCCTTGCAGTTCAGACTTAAGTTCCTCCACCTATTTATGTAGTCTATGACTGGCTCATCCTTCCATTGTCTAGATGTAGTGAGCTCGATCATGCAGACTGTACATCTTGTTCTATAAAAGTGACTAAGAAAATCATGTTCCATTTGCTCAACTATCAATAGAGTTTGCTTCCAAATCAGTGTACCAGTCGAATGCGACCCCTTTGAGTGAAAGAACAAACTGCTTCACGAGATAATCACCATGGGTTCCCGCATCGTTGCATGTCTCAATAAAGTGGGCTATATGCTGCTTCGGGTTACCCTTGCCATCAAACTGTTGGAACTTGTGAGGTTGATATCCAACAGGCATTCTCAAGTTATCGATCCTTGGCGTATATGGCTTAGCATAGGTGTGAGTTGACTTGGAACCGCCATCAAGCTTATCTTTAATCGTCCCCATGATGAAATCCTTCAGTTGATCGATGGGGATCATTTCCTCAGACGAATGTTGAAATGTTGGAGTCTTCTCTCTTTCATGAAATTACTGTTGTTTGGATGTTTTTGACTCATCACGGTCTTCATTTTGTTTGTCCTTCATGCGGCTCGTTTCAGCATTGTCAACCTTGTCCATTAGCTTTGAGATTTGAGAATCTTTCTCTTGGACCTTCCTTGCGAGCCCTTCAATAACCTTCGTCAAGCTTGCGATGTGCTCTTCAAGAGTTGAAGCATTGGTCGTCATAACCGGAGCGATGCTTGAATGTGATGAAGAGCTTGATGATGAACGAGGAGTTGAGGAAGCGGAGTCGTCTTCGTCACGTTCATGGGTAAGATGCAGCTTATCACTTCCAATCACCTCGTGCAAGGGAGTCGTCTCCGAAGATGCTTGCAGTTGCTTGGCCATGCTTCTTGTAACGACGCCGAGGATGGAGCTTGAAGAACTTGTTGAAGGAATCTTGACTACGACGATCTTGCGACTAGTCATGACGATTTAAGGAATTTTGGAGAAGAGATGAGAGGTAGAGATGTCTCACCGGGCGTGCCAAAAATTTGTAACAACAAATTTTGTGATTTGAATTTATAAACACGAAAAATATTATTCAAATGAATTTCTCGAATCAAAATAAATATAGCGGGTTACAATTTCTATTATTCCTCTGATTCTTCTCACGAACGATTTTAAGTCTTGGAGCGAAATCTTCGGCTTGATCATCTCCTTAACTTGATTTGACTTGAATTACCGTTAATCCGAGGGAACCACCTTGATTTCGGATCAAAAGTCAAAATATTCCAAGAACGCGAAGAACACGAATCCTTGGTCTTCGTTGCAAAGTAGATCTTGAATCTTCTCCACGCTGGTTTTGAATTTACTAACGTTATTCGGAGGCTTTGCACCTTATTTCCGGATTGAATGTCAGTCTTGAGGTTGAACGCGATTGAATCTTGATTCGAATCTTCAAGAACGCCTTTGAATCTTCAAGAACACTTGAATCTCGCCGAGAGAATTCTCTAGAGCTCTTGAATTTGAATATTAATTATGAGGTGTGTTTTTGGCTTTAGGAAGAGCCCCTATTTATAGGTGTAGGATTGAGAACCCTACCAAATTTAAGAATCGTAGGACGCGATTTGATTGGTCCATGATGATTCACATAAGATCTTTTAGATCTACCTTGATCTCCCAAGATCTTGTAGAAGACATGTGATTTATTACCAAGAATTAAGATTTGACAATTGGCATTATTTGATTGGTCATGAATTAAAATATTAAAATATCAATTAATTAACTATTTAAATTTAGGAATTAAATATATGGAAATTCCTAAAATATAAATAGAAAATATAACTTGATTTTTAATAAATTAATTTCCACGTGGCGCTATTTGATTGAACACAATTTTTATGTCTCTACAGGGAGATCGCCGCGCCCGAGTCTACGATGGTATGTAACGGCGGCATGTTGGCAGATAAGTTGCGTCCTTCCATGGCTATGCCGATTATGTTGAAGATGTAGTATGTTGGATGTTTGGTTCTCAAAATCAAAGGTGTGAATTTGGTGGTATGATCGTAGTTATCTTTTCCCAACAAGAGAAAGCCTTTGGAGGATGAGGTGGTTTGGAGGCAGTAAGAGAAACATCCTCCGTACTTTTTAGCAGTTTGGGAGACCAAGGATATGGGTCCTTTGCCGAGGCCCACAAGTCCAGCTTCAAGGCCCCAAAGTCCTTGAGTAAATAGGCTACACCCAAACGCGAAATCTGAGAAAGCTTTGCTTGGTGCTATGGTAAGTTTATCTTTGTCGAGGTAACCGGTGGTCACGGAGCCATCACCGTATGTGACAACCGGGAAAGCATGAAGACGCAAAACTAGCTACGCACTCGGAGGAATTGCAAGAATTGTCGGAATACGAACTGGACTTGTAGGGGTCAAATATTGGGGCCTTGTTGTCAGAGAGCATGGTTGGCATTGAGTCCATGTCAGGTCGCTGCCGGTATCAAGAGCGATAAAGAGTTTTCTTTCTAGTGTGCCGAGGCTCATGGTGACAATATAGTTGCCATAATTTAACCCTTGATTGGTCACCTAAGCTCGGTTGGGATGATTTTGTTTGATTCTTCAAGAGCAGCTCATCAGCGAATGGACTGTCCTTGTGGATCACTTCAACTACTGCCGATGATTGCCTCTTCTTTAAACCTACATATTCATAATGAATCAATTATTAATTTGTGGTAATTATGTATATACGAAACCATCAATAAAGTAGTTTTTTAATGATGTTTGAAAGCTACACTATTGTTAATTTTGTTTCAAATGAACACAATTAATTAATGAGTCTGCCTAACAAAAAATGAGAATGCGAGTGATTAATGACGAAAGAATATGTATTAATTCAGACATGAAGAATTGCATTGAAAATAAATATGATACCTGATTACCTGGAGGGTGGTCGTTTCGCAAACTGAGGTGGATAGATGTGATGCGATGTCCAGAACATGAAACTAATTTTCTGAATTTGAAGCCGCCCAATTTTTCTTTGACCAACATGATAACAGTGTTAACAAAACAGACGAATATAAAAGAAACTTCATCGAGGGCAAAATCGACTGTTGCAGAGTGGCTATAGGAGGAGTATGCAATCTCTTTCTTTCTTGTGCTACTTAGGATGCATTAAGCCACGAGTAGCTGGCATTTAGTTATATAGAAAATATTTTGAAAAAAAAATATTTTGATTTTGCTTTTGTTTTAATGATGTTTACTATTAGAATACCTCGTCTATTACATGAANTTTTCGAAACGAAAGGATATATTAAACTCAAGCAAATGTACAGCAAGGACAAACTTGTCCTAATACAACATCACCCTAAGGTAAGAGAACCCGAACAAGGTTTTATGCATCTTCCCCAGCTTTTGAGGACTCCAGAGTCTGGGGATTGCACATAAACCTTAAGCCCCTATGTACAGCAAAATTAGGCAACAAAAAGGATATACCACTGCCACACCAGGCCTAGTAATCCTCAAAACACTAGAAAAACAGCAACAAAGAGAAAACAGCAACAAAGCAAGAAAACAAACCTAAACCGCAAACAATTATTAAGAACAACAACAAAATTCCATCCAGTCTTCTAAAGCCAATGAGATTGTGTCCTTCTCTGATCTCCATTGCTTCTTAAACACCCACAAATTCCTAGTCTTCCACATCCACCAGAGGATATAAGAAGACAATTGAAGCCTGGCCTCTGCAGTAGGTGAGTTATTTACTGAGCAAATCTTTGGCCACCAATGTTTGAAGCTGTCTGTGAATGTTTGAGCACCATCCCAGGAGACTGGGGAGATCTTCCATATTATTTGAGCTCGCTTACAATGGAAAAAGAGGTGTTCTTGTGATTCTTGGTCTTCTCCACACATCTGACAGGTTGCCTCGATTGGCATCCCCTTCTTGATTAGATTGTTGTTGACCGGTATTGTGTTATTCATTCCTTTCCACAGAAAATGCTTCACTTTGGGTTTAATTTTTAGCTTCCAAGTTCTCATTCTTGCTTTTTGTATCACTGTTTGATCTTGACTCGTTCCAGGTAAGTCCATTTGTAAGAATTTTTCCAGGATCATTTTTGAGTAGGCTGAGGAGACTGAGAAACTTCCATTGTCTGTTCCTACCCAAGTCATTCTGTCTTTTTGATGAGGATCCATTCCTGTGATGTTCAGTATTGCTTTTGCTTCCTGGGGTGGGAAGTATGTCATCACAAGCTCCCTGTTCCACCTTCTCCCTGATTCTTCCAATAGGTCCTTGACCAATTTGATATTAGGAGGTGCACTTGTCTTGGTTTGTTGGTTCAGTCTTGGCATGTTAGGCACCCAGGGGTGGTCCCATATTCTTACTCCTTTTCCATCCTTTATTTTGAAGAGAATGCCCTGCATGAAAGATTCCCTCTGCTTCATCCAACTTGCCCAAAGCCATGAGCTATTATTTTTGTGCTTGACAGTGAAGAAATCCTCCCTTGGAAAGTATTTGGCTTTAAGTGTTTTGCTCACCAGGATATTAGGATGTGCTAGCAATCTCCATAATTGCTTTGAGATAAGGGCCTTGTTGAAGGTGTGAAGATCTTTAAGTCCAATACCTCCCAGCTTCTTTGGGAGAGTTAATTTTTGCCATGAGCACCAGTGAATTGCCTTTGCTTTGTTGCTATCTGAACTCCACCAGAAGTCTGCAAATGTGGCAGCCATCTTTTTCAGAATTCCCATGGGCAGGTGAAAACATGACATGGAGTAAGTGGGCAATGCTCCCAAGACAGCTTTCAGGAGTACTTCTCTGCCTGCATTAGAGAGATATCTGTTCTGCCATTTTGTTATTTTTGAGTGCACTGCATGTTCAATGTAGGCAAATGTGGCAATCTTAGATTTCCCTATCCCAAGAGGCAGCCCCAAGTAATTAGTGGATGTGTGAGTTTTAATGCCCATGAGAGTATGACAAATGTCATTTTGAACTGAGATAGGAGTGTTTTTGCTAAAGAAGATTGCTGATTTTTCTAGGTTTACCTGTTGGCCTGTGATGCTGTGATAGTTCTGAAGAATGGCCAACAGGGTTATAGCTTGAGGCACTTCAGCTTTTGCAAATAACAATGTATCATCAGCAAAGAACAAATGAGAGAGAATAGGACTGTTTCTGCAAATTTGGACACCTTCCAGATTCCCATTAGAGATTTCAGTTTGTATCAGAAAAGACAGAATTTCAGAGATGATAATAAAAATGTAGGGGGACAGTGGGTCCCCCTGTCTGATCCCTCTTGTTGGGTTGACAAAGCCACTAACCTCTCCATTCACATTAAAAGAAAAAGAAGCAGAGGATACACATTGAAGAATCCACAACACAAAAGTCAAATTAAACCCCATTTTCAACATAACCAGTCTGATAGAGTCTCATTCAACCCTGTCAAATGCTTTTATCATATCAAGTTTGAGGGCCATATAACACTTAGGACCAGCTCTATGAGACTTCAAAAAATGAAAAACTTCATGAGCAAGAATTACATTGTCCATTATCTGTCTGTTAGGAACAAAAGCAGCTTGAATTTCACTAATGCAAACAGGCAGACAAGGCTTAAGTCTTAATGCAATGATTTTGGATATGGTTTTATAAATTACATTGCAAAGACTTATGGGTCTAAATTGACTAACCAGCTCAGGGTTTTGACATTTTGGAATAAGAGTAATCAGGGCATGGTTAAGACTCTTGAGCATTCTACCAGAGGCAAAAAAACTAGATACAGCACAACAAAAATCTTTTTGAATAACTGACCAAAAGGAGAGGAAAAATGAGGAAGTCATACCATCTGGACCTGGGGCTTTATGAGGATTGATACTTTGCAAGGCCTCTTTGATTTCTTTGGTAGTAATTGGTGCCATAAGCTCAGAGTTCATTTCTTCAGAAATCACTTCTCTCATCCCCCCCAGCAGACTGTCCCCTGTAATAGTACTCTCAGAGGAGAAAAGGTACATTACATGGAGCTTTTTAAGAAACTTATAATTAAATTTAAAAACTAATGAAAAAGGTCTGGTTTGAATTTAAAATATATTAGTTATTTATTTTTATATATGTACAATATGAATATTAGAAGTATATAAAAAGATTATTAATTTGATATATTATATATGAAAAACTAATAACAAATACAAAAGTTACTAATTTTTAAAAAATATGTTTATAATTTAAGTTAGTAGTGTTTTACAAACCCCTGTATATGATTCTCGAATATGCTGAACCTAAGTGACAGATTCGCATACTTCGGGATCCTATTCCCCTATATATAATTAATTTCCAATAAGTGGCAGACCATATGCTTCGGGATTCTTTGTGACAAATTTTCATACTTTGTCATTTGTCTTGGATGAATTCAATTTACTCTCAATACAAAATTAATTAGGATTGAAATAGTCATAAATATACTAGATATTTATGGTCATTTTTAAGAGCATTAATTATGTTACCTTTCCTATTCTAGACGTGATTTATATCATAATTTTGTTTCTCAATATTTTTTATTTTCCTCGTATTACATTTAAAATTATGAAAAAATTACTAACTAAAATTACAAGTAGATTTTATAGTTCATAAATTTTTTATTTATTATCATTTTTTATACATAATATATCGAATTAATCATGATGAGTTTCTTTTTGACACATATATTTCACATATAAAATAAATAAATAAATAATATATAAAAATTAAAATATTTGTTAATACTTAATATTAATTAATAAAATAAAATTATTTATATTATTTTAGCTCAAAGTGATATAATTTAAAAAATTATTATAATATAAAATGGGAAGTCGTATAATTAATGAGTGTTATTTTAAATCTAAATAGTAATATAATTATTTCAAAACGTAATTGAAGATTAAAACATTTTTTATTATTTTTATTTTTAAATATAAATTTTTTAACAAACACCCGTGTAGTACACGGATATTGTATTAGTTTTAAAATAAAACTGGAGGAAAAAATTTCATGCCTTATTATTTTTAGATTGGGAGTTAATAAAAATATATTCAAACCAAATACGAAGCATAAAATTTTCCCATATAAGATACCGAAGCGTGCGAGTTTTCCACTTTAACTCTAACACATTTGAAAATTATGTATAGTGTGATATGACTTTAGGCTTGAAGTTTTGCTCGTGAATAAGTCAAAATATAAAATAAATAAATAAATAAATATTTCCTCTATATTGCGATATTGCAATATTAACCTTGTAAGTGTGAAGTATTTGCAAGTTAATCCTATTATACGTACTAGTCTATAATCTATAAATTAAGTTAATAAGATAATGTATTATTTAATTTTATATTTATTTGTCCTAATATATTTATATTATTTTAAATTTTATAAATTTTTAATTTTTTATTAATGTTGTTCGATAAATAATTGATTCACGAACTAATTACTTAATTTATAAAATTGTGTGTTATCATTTTCCTTTGTTTATTTATCTATTTTGTTACCTGAGTATTTACATAGTGATTTGATAGACAGTTTAATATCTCCTTTAATGTCACACTAGTACAATAACCGTGTACAACAATATTGTGCATAAATTGCATATTAAAAATCATGTGATTTAATTAAATCACATATTTGCCACTGCATAGGAAAAACTAATTCCACTGAAATGTTGTTCCAACTAAATTAAAATCAAACTGAAATACTTTATTTATTTGGTCAGTTAACTGAATTAATCAAAATAAATGAAGTAAGTTATAATTTGTATAATAAATACGTAATTTAATTTTAATATTTTTATTTAATAATGTATATATATATTTTGCTGACAATAACTAATACATTATAAAAATATTTTTTAATATAGTTTTGTCGGTTCAGTAATTTCAAATATTTTTAAAATAAAGCTGAAACAAAATTAAAATAACCAACATTGTAAAAGTAAAAAACGATAACCGAACTCAAATCTATTGTGCAATCCGTTTGACATTAAAGTACAATTCATCTATCACTATTGTGCACTCATACCACTTGAAGTTTCAAT